TTAGATTTGAGCTCGAATTTCCATACATGCATTTGCATATGCAGTACATTACACATACATTGCCTTTTTCTCCCCACAACTATTTTCAGTGTTGAATGAACTTTATTTATTCAATTGCACCATTATTATTTTTGAATGAAATCTATACTGCAATTATAAGTATCTACACTCCCATGCTTATCTCTGGGTTCATGTCATCCACTGTTGTGACAATTAGAAAACCTGGGACTTTAAACTTAAATTTTATTGAAAAGTTAATTATGGAGTTGCACACAAGGTCATGTCTAATGCCAAAGGATTCTGATGCATAATTTAATCTCACTTAAAACGTACTTATATATTTTCCTACCCATTTCTTTACACAGTATCTTCAGAATTCTTTATAGCCCTAACACTTTTCCCCTGAAACCTTTGCTTTTTCATGTTTTGAAGATTTTTAAATCTCCAGAATAATAAAACCTTGTCTCTGGCCCACTGAAACATAAAGACTAGGAAAAAGTAGCACAGCTTCTCCATTTAGAATAGCCAAGGTTTATCCATAATCATTTCTGCAAAGAAAAAAAATAAAATAAAGGACAGGTAGTAAAAGGTTACCTTCTCACAATAACTAATATTTGCTTTTTCTTTTCAAAGAGAAGAAAAAGGATAGCTGTACCACAGAGTGCTTAGAAAGCACTATCTTTCAAGATAGGAAAGAAATTCCAGGTGACATCACTTTTGGCCAAAGCTCAAAGGCTACTGTGAAGGGATACAGCTCTTCCCAATTATTCCCTACGTAAAGATCAAAATGAAGGCAAAGGGCCAATTCTTCAAGATACCTCATCCCAAATGTGCTATGTGATTACCTACATACTTACTGCATATGTGAGAAGTATTTTTTTTTTCAGTAAAGCCAAAAATGGTCATTAAGTAGAACTGAAGGAGAATTCTTACACACTCTGTTTTCCCTGACAATGATGAAGATCAAAGACCAAAGTGGTTTACACAAAGCAGTGTTGATTCTACTTAGACAACACCGGACCAGTTAATAACAGCATTGTGAGGCCACGCTGGTTTGGGGAGGGGGGGGACACTGAGGGTACACAACCTGTCACCCCAAGTACTAGTTTTGTTCCAAAGAAACATAATGGAGTTTTAAAAGCGAGGACATTTTTTTCAAGCCTCTGCCCATACACAGAAGCTATACCATTTGAATCCAAATTATTTTTAAACTGGTTCTGACTGCATAAAAGCCCAAGTAAAAGCAATTTACATTAACATATTTTATTTTGCAGTTGAAGTGGGCTAGGAATGCACACCCACTCAGTTACTGTGACTCAATCAAGAGTATCTCTTTAAGCTACAATAGCTTGATTACTTGCAATTGCTTGTCTCTACCTGAAAAGAGCTGAACTGACTTTGAACCATCCAATTCAAGTATGCTCACACTTAGGAATTTACCTCTGAAAACGAGTATCAACCAGTTTTAAGTTTCCACAATGAATTTCCCACCAATGTAACTACATCACCTTCATTTATCTTTAAGTGTATGGTTAGACAGCATGGCACAACTTTTTGTGAATCTAAGTGTCAAGGCAAGAGCATTAAGGAACTAAAAGCGTATTTCAAACACACAGCTCTCCCAACTCCCATGTTAAAAAAAGAAAGCTCAGTTGGGTGTAAAATAGGCTGGCTCCACAGGAGAGAAACCAGAGTGGTTCCTACACGCTATGCAGTGTCACCAGATCTGGCTGATTTGTTCACCCCTGCAACCCTGTGGCAGCTTCGCAGATGCAGCGCGGGGTGCTCATCGCCAGCCTTCACATGCACCCAAAGGCAGGAGAGCAGTGGCCATGGGGAGGCAAAGTGAAGCCCCGGTCCAGGACACTGAGGGGCCAGTCCTGTATCCTTCCCTGGGGCTCAGCTCCATCCAGCCACGCTCTGTCCTACTCTTCAGTCAACTCTGTTTCACCGTCAGGGACACACTTGCACTCCAAGGAAGAGAAATCCCTCACCCCCATTTCATTTCACACCCACCCGGTTTCCCCACATACTCGGGGAGACAGCAATGAGCCTCAGGCTCTCCCTCTCTATGCAGAGCACCTACCTGTTCACACACCCGCTTCCCAACGCCCTCCTCCCACACTTCCTCCCAGATCACCCCAAGGAGACGGGATGGCCTCTGAACACTCCACCCTATGACAAAACACCACCCGATGAGAAAGGCTTAATTAAGAAAGACGTCTTCAGCACCGTAAGCGCTGTTAGCAGTATGTAAAATAACTTCATTCTCACTGGCCTTCCTGCCATTCCCCAAGGAGTACATGGACGACACATGACCAGGGAGACAGTAACGCTCAGGTGCAGGACTTCAAAGTTATTCAAGAAGAGTTATTCAAAGTTTCAAAGAAGAAATCAGGAAGCTGCTGGGCTTCCCCTTCCCACTAAGGAAAATGATACTATGCCTGGAAAAGAGCCTTTTGCAAAAATAAAGTTGATTTCACAGGAGTGGAAAGCAGCGGACGCTGGTGGGAAAATATCCATGTGGTGGAAGTAACTAGTGTGATAGAGCTGGGCACAAAAGTTTGAAACTACAGAACAACTATCATACAGAGCAGAGCGGCGCAAACTTTCCAGGGTTCCACTCCAACAGTACTATGAAAATAATACCACAGCCTTGGCCTTTTCTGCTTAAATAACAAGCTGTAAGCAAGAGCCAAAGATGTCTATCATTTGGAGAGCAAAAAGTAGACTGAGACCACACTCTCACTTTACAGATAGCTACAAAGATTATAGGAAGATAGGACTGTAAAGACATATCTTTAAGTCCCTGCCAACCTAATCAAGATGGTATTAACAGTGATCTCACACTCCATCTGCCTGGCTAGTAATTTATGAAAAATGTACTTCACTATTACAGGAAAAATATGTTGCACTGCTTGTGGCCACAAACCTGCTGCAGCAGCTCAGGAACTCTTGGATCGGAGGCCGTGAGACCAGTTCTTGACATTTACCAGGCACTGCCCGTGAGATCCGGTTCATTCATACAGTGATTTTGTTCGCTTGTTTGCTTGCCCTACCAATGAGCTCATCTTCAGACAGATAAAATAGCTGACAAAAAACTGTCAGTCCCTTGCAACTGAGAGTGTAATACCATACTGCTTTGCTTTTCGTCCTGTGAATTCTACATAGGTACTACACTTAATTATAGGAGATTCTTTTTACGATTGAAAAATCTCCCCCAATCTTGCACTGATCAGCAATCATTTCTGACAAATTACTCATTTTCCTGTCAGAAAACAGAAAAACTCACCTTGCCTATCGAAACTCTATTTCTTCTAATATTGCTAAGAATCAGACCTATGGGGTTTATGAGATGCCAAAAGGATTTTTTTGGTTTGTTTGGTTTTTTTTTAGGGGGGGTGAGGTAGGTAGTGGTAGTCATGGTGTCGTTTTGGAAAACTATATGGAATTTTCAAATTTCCATCACGGCAAAGTTCAGGGGCAGCATTCTAATATCAGAATGACATAAGATGATGTCTGGGTATAAAACCAAAAAAAAACTCCACTAGTATCAACACACTGGATTTAATTCCTAATTATGCATTTCTTTGTTTAGCAGAACTCCTGTTTGGATCATCCTTCTAGTTGCTGCAGGAAAGGAAGACTAGATACGCAGCGAAGATGATGGTAAAGCAGGACAAAAAACCCTAATGTAGTTCTACAGATGTTCTCTCTGCTGCGCACTGGGGCAAAAGTATCTAGCAATACTAGATAACTAGATAACTAATCTAAGGAATAGAAGCCTATGATCTAGTCAATTCCTACTCATATGAACAACTTCAAGACATCACTTTCTTTTATGTTGAATAGCAACGAGGCAAAATGAAATGCTAATGTTATTAGAAGGCTTACAAGCTCATTATCATTGGTGAGACTTCAGTCACAACCAGAATATGAAAAGTTTTTCTCCTCTAGTGGGACAAGACATGGGCTTGGAGAACAAGATTATCTTCTTACCAAATAAAATTCCCAAATTACTTTGTACACAAAGGCTGAGTCAATCTCAAGAACAATTTTATCGAGAAAATAGGTAAATTCAGTCTAAGTAGCCTTTGTTCAATCTTCAGCAATGCAGATGAAGGGAATCCTTTTCCTATGTACACATGCTCTTGTGGCTCCAATACTCCTCTATAGAACTAAACACCATCATTTACTGTCATGCAGTACACCAATACAATTTTGAAAGAAATTGAGTAAATTTTCTAGTGCTCCTCTGAAAGTTTCTAGCCATGATATCCACAGCTCATACTCAGGGAGATTTCTTGCCCCCTTAGTTTTGCTCCTCAAATACTTCTCATTTCTGCTCAGAAACACTCTTCTACCAATCTCACACTGCCAGATCAAAAAACCTACAGATTTGTTTTTTAGAAACATTCTTGGAAAATAAGAAATAAAAAATGTCTTCACTTTATCCAACAGATACACACTTCGTAGCTTTGCTAATATATGCAAATTGTCTGATTGCTTGAAATTACTGATTAACCAGGCTGGAGAGCTGATTACCTGATTATCCAAGAGAAAAATAATTTAGCACGATTTTGTGTCATTTGACAGTCTAGATAATTTTCTAATTAATTTGAGTTTTCAAGTGAATTCAGAGATACTACTGAAAAAGAGACAAGAGGTTAGTGATCTGAATAAAGGTAAGCTTTCCAGGAATTTTATTCTTACAACAATCATTTGTCAAATGTTGTTTAGTTACAGACACTTCAGACACACACACACAAATGAGAACTCAAACTTTCAAAAATATTCAAAAACCAACCCATGGTAAAATCTTCAATACCCTCGTACAAAAGATATCTTGTAGAGCTGGACATAAGATTAGTGGTGCACTAGTCTGACGCATGGCATCGAACTTCCAGTATCACCAAGAAATTCCACACTACACGTGAAGCAATACGTAGCAGATACTTTGTCAATATGCTGAGAGAATAATAAATACTGGAAATACGTACTTGCCACTGAAAAGTTGTTGAGTGGATATGGCAGATCCACATCCTGGGGCTTCTCCTTATAGCCTATGAAAGAGCCATCTGTCTTTAGCAGGAAATATCTTGGCCGCCAGTTTTTTATATATTCTCCTAAAGGAGAGGAAAAAAAATGTTCATTAGTACTGTAGAAAAAACCATTTGCTATTAAAAAACATAACATATTATCAGTGTCTAACATTAATTATACCAAAATTTTTCAGACATTTTCAATTTACAGAGGAAACCTTAACACCCGCCAAAAGAAGAGAAAATGGAATTGCAGTGGTAAGCCTGGACTACACAGAGAAGCCTCTGGAATAAGAGGCTAAAAGCTCTGCATAGTAATATTCTATAATTCTAAATTTTATCACACTATACTCTTCAAAATCCTACAACTTTACACCTATAAACCGTTCGAAATTTGCTGCAGGCAAAAATAAACACTACAGCTTGACTTTTAATAACAAAAGGAAATCTAAATTACTATGAGGTAGGACACATACCCTGCTGAGCCAAAGCAAAAAAAAATTAATTTCCTCAAAACATATATGAAGCAAATACTAGAAGACTGGCCATAATGGGAAGACCTACACAAATTATACTTAATAAATGTATCTCAAATCAAAAGGAATGAAAAAGTAGAAGCCAACTACCTTTTAAGAGGTAAGTCCACCAATAAATCCACCACCTCCACTTTCCCCCTAACCCAGTCTGAGCAGAAGATTCTGCTAGCCATGAGGTATTCAGGACCAGAAACATACAGAACAGGTCAGCAAAGACACAATAGCTTAATTAATGATGCTTATTTGCTATTTAAGGGTGAAAAATCTCTGTAACATCATTACACTTTACAATGCCACACAAACATTTCAGCAACCATTTCATTTTGAAAGTGCAATTACTCTGTTAAGTACAGGTGAGTTTAGATCTGCCCAACTTTCCCCGTCTTTGATTTCTACCGACTCTGCAAAGCAAATAACGCATGTACGAGTACTTGCTAAGACTTTAAATAAGTCGCTTTTTCATCATTATACAAGTGAACATGTCAAGAAAAAATGCGTATGTAACAATGCGGGATTTCCAGTCGTGCCTCAGACTTCCACCCTTTGCAGAATGCTCAGAACTGACCAGCCCAGGGGCTGCACCAGCCCCTTCAGTGCCACTGACCACCTCAGCGCACTGCTAGCTGTAGCTACGCAGCTTTCAGACAATTCGCAGGTCAGAAAGAAGTTTATATCTATCTCATACGGAGACTGCTCCATGAAACGCTGATCTAAAAATTCATTAATCACATCTTCACCTTTCCATTTGAAAAAACAACAAACTGTCACTGAAGTTCAGCGTGTATGTATGTATGTATGAGTACGGGGTTTGCGTGGCCAGGTTTTGGTAGCGGGGGGGCTACAGGGGGGGCTTCTGTGAGAAGCTGCCAGAAGCTTCCCCTGTGTCCCACAGAGCCAACGCCAGCCGGCTCCAAGATGGACCTGCTGCTGGCCAAGGCCAAGCCCATCAGCTATTGTGGTGGCACCTCCGGGATAACACAGTTAAAAAGGGGGGAAAAAATCCTACACAGCAATTTGCAGCAGGAGAAAGGAGTGAGACGATGTGAGACGAACAACTGTGCAGACACCCAGGTCAGTGAAGGAGGGGCAGGAGGTGCTCCAGGCACCGGTGCAGAGATTTTTCCCCTGCAGCCCGTGGAGCAGGCCCTGGTGAGGCAGGCTGTGCCCTGCAGCCCAGGGAGGTCCACGGTGGAGCAGATCCCCACCTGCAGCCCAGGGAGGACCCCACGCTGGAGCAGGGGGATGCCCAAAGGAGGCTGTGAACCCATGGGGAGCCCAAGCTGGAGCAGTTTGTGAAGAACTGCAGCCCGTGGGAAGGAGCTGGAGCAGTTCATGGAGGGTTGTCTCCTGTGGGAGGGACCGCACGCTGGAGCAGGGGCAGAGTGTGAGGAGGGAGGAGCGGCAGAGACAACGTGTGATGAACTGACCGCAGCCCCCATTTTCCGTCCCCCTGCGCCGTTCAAGGGGAGGAGGGAGAGAAAATCGTGAGTGAAGTTGAGCCTGGGAAGAAAGGAGGGGTGGGGGGAAGGTGTTTTTAAGATTTGGTTTCTTATTTTCCTACTCCAATTTGATTGGTGATAAATTAACCTAATTTCCCCAAGTCGAGCCTGTTTTGCCCATCACGGTAACTGATGAGTGATCTCCCTGCCCTCACCTCGACCCACGAGCCTTCCATGGTATTTTTTTCACTCCCCTGCCCAGCTGAGGAGGGGAAGCGACAGAGCAGCTTTGGTGGTCACCGGCCCTCCAGCCAGGCTGAACCAGCACAGTATGGTTAATATGGCCTTGCTGAACTTGACCACAGCTTGTAAGAACTTTGACGATGCCCATAGCTTAAAAATCTAACTGCAGCCATTAATGTTCCCATTTTTCAGCGTGTATTTAAGCAGAGAAGCAGGGTAAGATGTAGGAGATG